CAACTGGGAATTGACTATGGACCACTGGTGCGTGTCACATACACCTAACTCGCTATATTCACAGATTTGTCTCCTTAGCTGTGATTGCATTCAACAAATAATAATAATGGCAATTGCTTTTAAAGAAACTGTTTGGAAATTAGCAACAATATGAGTTCTCAATTAATCATGGAATTCCTTCTTTCAGAAGCAGACTGCTATCTTACTAACTTCTGGCCATGGAAAAAAGGACCCTTACATTCCCTACCTGTAGTTTTGATCACTACTGATTCCTCATTCCTTGGCCACTGGACATCTACTTACTCACTGGTCACCTACCTATTTCTCTCACTGCTGGACCCCTTTCACCTTGACTTTTTGCCTCTCTCTGCTTATACGGATAATGGTGGGGTTCCCCCCTCTATCCATCCTCTTGTGTTCCAGAAAATCATTAACAACATTTTATCTTTCCCAATTCAAAGACATAAATTCCCAAAATATTGACACTTAAGTTTACTCAAAGATGGACTGGAGACAAAATTCCTATGAAACTCGGATAACTAAGTGGACATAAAAGAAAAGAAATTTATCTACTTATCTTCTAAAGATCTGTGAGAAATTGTATTGTTACACTTGTCTTTGAGACAAAAGATATTTAATTATGCCAATTCTGAAAGAACAAATATTGCCAACATATCAAATACCTTTTGGAAACAGTTGTAATCAACACCTGCCTACTTTGTGTTTTATTATTTATTGTGCTGAGTGTATAATACGACCCCCACCACTTTTTGGTGTTAATTTCACAATAATAAATAGAAATGAACTGCAATTTAGCCATTGCAGATTTCTTCTCCTAATTTCAGTTTCAAAATTTATTTTCTGGGGGGAAAGGTGCTTTGTTGTAACATTTAATGTTCTCAAAACATGACAGATCTTATGCATTCCATTTAACTTTTTTTTTCTTTTCTTTTAAATCAATTTTAGTGAATTTCCCATCTTTGAAACAAAAGCTATTCAATTCTGCTGATTCCTAAAGAACAAATATTGCCTTCATATCAAATGCCTTTTGTAATCAATTGTTATCAACACTTGCCTACATGTGTTTTATTATCTATTGTCCTAATTGAGTGTATTTACAATCTTGCCGTTTCAAATAAGAGGATTTTTTAGCTGAGTAAAAATTTCTGAAAACATGTATGACCACCTCTTTTTGGCCTTTTAATTTTCGTTAAAAAATTCTCTTATTATATACAAGAAAATACAGTAGTCATCTAAAAAAATTGTATAAAATCCTCTCTTCACTAGTTTTGTAAAAAAAAAAAAAAAAAAATGGCTAGAGATAGTTGACAGGTATGTAATTCTATTTATTTTAAGAATCTTTTCTTTTAAAAATAGTTATTACCTATAAAAACATTTCAGTATCTATTAAATGAGATTGATTTATTTTTTTATTAACATTATGATTGTTTGCTTCATGTGGCATTGAACATGACTGGTTACCATAACTGCATTTTCTCATTATTTAATAATAGTGAGATCAAGGTTGCTCATAATTACTTGATGAGCAAGTCTATTGTTATGAACAGAGGAAGAATTCCGTTTAACTTTTTCTTTTTAATCAATTTCAATGAATTTCCCATCTTTGAAACAAAAGTCATTCAATTACATTAATTCCCAAATAACAAATATTGCTGTCATATCAAACACCTTTTGTAAACAATTGTTATCAACACATGCCTACTTTGTGTTTTATTATCTATTGTGATGAGTTCATTTGCAATCTTAATGTTTCAAATAAGTTCTTTTTTTTTAGCTGAATAAAAATATCAGAAAACATTGTAATTGCGTATAATAGATTCTTTTGCATTTAATTTCCATTCAAAATTTTTTGTTTTATGCACAAGAAAATACAGCGGCATCATTAATACCACACATCATATTTATATAATGGGTTATAGGTAGAAATCTATAATGCTGAATATTTTATAAACCTATAATTACTACAGAGTTTTATTTGAAATTTTATAATTAATGCAGGATTTTATGGTGGGTATTAATGGATTAAATACCCAAACTTATACATTGGCTATGAAAATCATTTTTATAAGATGATAATTTATGAAAGCTGAAAGAAAAAAGAAATGGTAATTTGACACATTCTGTTCATAGTGAAATGGGAGTGGGGTACACTTCAACTTGGTGTAATGGCTAGCAAACTTGTCTAGCTAGATCAAACAACCGAGTAGTGATTTCGATTCTCACTGGGTACCCCACAGTTTGGGCCTCGAGCCATATCTAAGCTATACTTAGAAAATCATTTCGCCACTTTGACGTGATGTAATAGTTAGCAAACTTGTCTTGCTAGACCAGTTACAACTAAATAGTGAGTTCAGTCCTCACTGGGTGCCCCACACTTTTGGCCTTGTGCCAGATTTAAGCTATACTTAGAAAATCATTTGGACACTTTGATGTGGTGTAATGGTTAGCAAACTTGTCTTGCTAGACCAATTACAACTGAATAGTGAGTTTGATTCTCACTGGGTGCTCCATTCTTTTGGCTTTGTGCCACACCTAAGCTACACTTAGAAAATCACTATAAATATGCAAGTGAAAGCAAAGTGCAGAATATAGACAACTTTAAATATTGCACAGCACTCATAAGTTATGACTAGTTTTTCATTGAGGTAATCTCATATTATATTTTATTTCTTTAATTTTATATATATATATATATATATATATATACATACACACACATACATATAAAGACTCTCCTAGCGATTGAGTTCTCTGAGTGAGTGGCGTGTTTATGAAAAAATAAATACGCATTGTTTCCTCTCTGCGGGGCATCAATGGCCTAAGGGTTAGAATCTCCGACTGATACCAAATCGGTCAGGTTTCAGCCCCAGCCTGAAGCAATCAGATGTCTAGCCACACTGATGAGCTGTGATACAGCAAAACTGTCTATGGATGACTATATATATATATATATATATATATATATATATATATATATATATATATATATATATATATATATATATATATATATATATATATATATATATATATATATATATAAAAATGTCAGTTTCATTGAGTTTATGTATCTTGTTCATTAAACTTGTTGCGGATTATTTACTTTACCTTTGTGTCAGAATTTCCTTTAAAGTTGTTTTTCTAAAAGTAATAATTTTATATTCATACAAATAGATAATATAAATAGATACATGCAATTCCAATATGTGTAGATCATAAGAAATATACTCATATAAATTGTCGATGCTAAATAAATTAACCTAGTAAACAGAATTTGTCTTTGATTTATTACACGTAGATACAAAGTGTGGTTCTAGGTCACAGTAAAAAAAAAAAAAAGTTTGAAAAACGCTGGTTTAAACCATAATGCTGAAAATGAACTTCTGAAGGTCGGTCATCTTTAAATTATTAACCCAATTAATGGATATTTCTTCACGCTGTCTGCTTTTCCTTCATTTGTGTTTTTTTTTGTGATGATAATTGATGCATGTCCAATATTTTTACTGAATATTTTCATTGGTGTTATATAAATAAAATATACATAAAATATTTTAGTTGGCGTTATCGATGATTGTTAACTTGGCCATTTTGTGGGGGTGCATCCCAAATTTTAAGGGATTTTTAATTTTCTCTCTCACTAATACTTTATTTGCCATACTGTATATATGAATAAAATCTCATGTAAACATGACTAGTTACAATGATTTTTGTTATGACTAATGCTCTGGTTAGTACTATCCCTTCAACAATCTTTAAAAATTGCCCATATTCTTTTTCGACAAATATTTTTCATTAAAAAACATAGAAATAAAAGCATTTTTGTGTCAGTTTAAACATGTTATTGAGAACCTATCGAGTTCAAATTCCAGTCAAATCCATTACATTTATTTACATGCTAATACTCTTGGGAAAGTTATGAATACTCTTCTTCTCCCCCCCTAGCTATGGGTAAAATAGCAGGATAGACCAGGTTCTACCGCCTTGAATGCCAACTGGTCTACTGCAGAAAGAAATGGCAACCTACTGTGGGGAAAAAAAAATCTGCTTTATCAGTCATGTATCGAAAGATACATGATCGCTCAAGCATGTATCAGACATGGCACATAACTGACTGACATTTAGCTGAACTGTATTAAAATTTTTTAGATCATTATAAATGTTATGCCTTTTCTTGTTTTGAGTAATATTTACCCAGAGTCATGTTAATAACCATTGCAATAATGATATAATAACTGGAGGGGGGGAGCCATTTTCTTCAAAACTGGCGTCTATTTTGCATCTAAATTAGATTTCCAACAAGTAGATTCTCATAACTGCATAAATTAGAAAAAAAATTCAGGGCATCAAGATCTTTCAAAAAAGATGGTAATGCCTATATACTGTAGACATACAAACCTGTTTGTACCTCCAACTTACAATTCTTGATGAAATTAAAATATATTAATATATTTTACATATAAATATATTTATAGATTTTATGTACAAAGAAAAAAAAAAAAAGAGATTGTATTAAACATGAAAATAAAACATCTGTCCATATTTTTGAAATGAGGTATTGTAACTATTATTTACATTGTTCAGACTGTTGTCCTCATCTTTATTGTCATATTTATGACATTTCGGCTGCTGTACACTCCAGCCTTCTTCAGCTGATATACATTGGAATTTCAAACCGAACCCTTTATTTAGTCCATGGGGGTAGATTATTTAATTCCACATGCCATGAAAATAAAATGTGGAGAAATCTAGCAAAGTGGAAAACCTTTTTATGAAAAACATATTTTCCATTTTGATCTCTCCATTTTCGTTTTGGTTCTATATGCTACTAAGATATGGAAATTGCAGGCTGCATTATACATAAAAATAAAATATACTGAGGCTTTTTACATACAAAAATTGGGGGTTGCATTATATATGAAAAAATATTTTTTTTTTTTTTTACAAATATAAAGAACTGTTAACTTTATAAATTTACTGACCTCCAAAAATTTCTGAAATAGTTGAGATTTGTACAAATGTTGTTGGTGACCAATGAAGTTCAATAATTCCAAGGCACTTGTTCTTCTTTCTTCTATGACAGATTCGGCAAATCTGCCTATGGGTAGAAAAAAAAAAAAAAAAAAAAAAAAAATCATTTCACAGAGAAAATGCAGTAAGAATCTCTCATCAGTTGTTGATTGGTTGAATTTGTCTAGTGGCATATCAACATCTCTATGGGTTATTTAATGCCAAAATCTAAATATCCTGCACAAAATTTTATGCTTTCAAGTACAGATTTCTTGTACATAATTTTATACTTTCTGAGTAAAGATATGTTTTTTAGATATACATTTTGTAAATCATAAAATGTATTGATGGTAATTTTACTATAAAATGTATTTTTATATTTTCTTTTAGTGTTGCATTGATAGTCATTTTACTATGAAAATGTATTGTTACTCATTTTATTCTAAGAATGTAGCATATCAACACCTCTATGGGTTATTTAATGCCAACATCTAAATATTTCAAACACAATTTTATGGCTTCAGCTAAATATATTTTGAATGCAATTACATGCCTTTCACTCCAGATAAAGTGTTTTGTTGGTCATTTATTTATTTATTTTTTTATATATATAAAAATATATTTTTATATTTTCATAGTCTTTTGTTTTTTGGGGGGGTTTCACTACTTGCCCACAGCAAATGCTACCACTCTGGATCATGGTGGACCTAGGAACAACAACAGTTAAGCAGTGCTTCCATGCTCCTGAAAATCTCCAATCTCCTGATCAGTTTATGTAGTTTATTGTCATATCCAGGACATCTATCATTAGTGTAATTTCTAAGGCTGTCCACAATTTCCTGTCCTTTGTAGCTCTTCTCTTCTCAATCATTTCACCCCAAGCAAGACAATAAAGCCACTAAGACACAAGGTTTTACTGAGTGTGAGAGAATACGAGGAAAAAAAAAACATTAAGAAGAGAGAATAATAAATTGATTGATTTGTCTGTTTAATGGCAGATCAACTCCTCATGGGTCATTTAATGCTGAAATTTAATTTTCTTGGGAGCTTAAAAGTAATAAAAATATGTTATTCTACTTTCACAATTGAATACATGGTAGATGATACTCAGCTTTTGTTCATATACAGGTTTGTGTGGACATGATTACTAGAGGTGGTGATATGTACGTTTTATGTTGTAGTTTTGTTGAAGTTATATTTTGGAATACAGTTTGATTTCTTTAAGAAATTGTAGGATATTATATGGATTAACGTCATGAAAGATTTTTCATATTGGTTGTTTGGTAGTATTTTAAACGGATTTGGTGAAGTCACTACAATGTTACTATGTGCGTATTGTTAGTAATTTTTTATATAAAAATGTATTGCTGGTATTTTTATGCTTTCATAGTGTTTTGTTTATGTTTGGGGTTTCACTATTTGCTTGGACCATAACTGGTTCCATCACCCCAAGTCAGGGTGAACCAGGGAACAGCAGCAATTAAGAAGTGGTTCCACACTCTTCAAAACTTCCAACCTCACAATCAGAGGCCTTGCTGCTGGATGTAGTTTATCGTCATACCTAGGACTGAGAATAATAAAAGAGCAGGAATTAAGAAGACAGAAGAAGATAACGATTGCCATTGCATTTATATTTTTCAAGATAAAACCTGACTGAATTGCAAGAAGCTGGAAGAGAGTTCCACAAGCGAGAAGTACAAGAGAAGTAACTGTTAGCATAGAACATATGGTTACATCTAGTATTTCAACTATATAAAATGATGAGACCTATCTGCCAATCTAGTACTGCACTTAAATTAATAAAGTCATGGCATCAAAGTGAAAAGTTCATCAGAAGAATTACAATGAAAATATTTATAGAAAAGGCGGTACAGGAAATCGTTGTTACAATGGGGCAATTATATGTAAAGTGTAAATGCATTGTTAATAATTTTTCTATAGGAATACAGACTTACAGTCATATCATATTGAAAGACGTGATCTTGTACAATCACCATAAGTTAAGCAACATTGAGTCTGGTCACTACCAAGATTGGTGATTATTTGGGAATACCAAGTGCTGCAAGATTGTGCAGGTGGTGTAATGGATAATGGCTTGGAATTGAAAATTGGAGCGCTGAGGGGGAGAACAGATAGATTCATGCTTTTCCCAAGAGTATTTCAGCATAAGGAACCCAACTGGAATTGGGACTCAACTAATTTATCAGCAAATCATTATTCCCAAAAACATTCTTACAATCTAAAAATATTTCCTGGCTTTAAATAACGTGCAAAAGATTGTTACGACATAAAAACAAATCAAGCAATCAATATAGGAATGCAATGAAAATCAGGAAGAAAGGGATTGTCAGTGGTCAGGAACGAATGCCAGCATTACTGATAGAATAGGGCTATTATATGTATAATGTAAATGCATTGCTAATGATTTTACTATCGGAATGCATTGAAAATCAGGAAGAAAGGGATTGTCAGTGGTCATGAATGAATGCAAGCATTACTGATAGAATAGGGCTATTATATGTATAATGTAAATGCATTGCTAATGATTTTACTATAGGAATGCATTGAAAATCAGGAAGAAAGGGATTGTCAGTGGTCAGGAATGAATGCAAGCATTACTGATAGAATCGGGCTGCTGAAATTTTTTTTAAGTTTGAAAGTGTGACTTGCCAAAATCTATATTCTGATTTTGGGAAGTGAATTGTTCTGAAAAATTTCCATCTCATCTTTTACATAATATTTACAGATATACATATATATATCCACACATACATAAATGAAAGTAAAGTAAGTAAAAATAAAGATTAACAAATTGTTGAATTTAAAAAAAAAAAAAAAAAAAACAAAAAAAACGAAAAAGAAATGAACGTACCAAAAAATTTTGGTTTTGCAAATTCTGGGAACTCTTCTTTTCGGTGAAGTGCTTTATGAAGAGTTATCATAGACTTGTACAATTGTTTGAAATCATTGTACCGTTTCCATACCACAATCTGGGAAATAGAGAAAAAAACAATTATCCTATATTCCAAAATATGTCAAGGAAAAATATTGAATGAAAACAGGCATCAAGAATAAATATATACATACACACACAGACACAGGATGCGATGGGTAAATTGTCGCCATTTTATATTTTTAATTTAATGTCACACAAGGAGAACCCAGTCATGTCTGTAAGACAATTTCTGCAACCCCATCACCTCCTTACAGATATTTATTTCTGTTCATTACAGAAATTGTGGCCTCATCATACCTTACATCTGGCCATCTAACTCCACAGACTGCAACCCCCTTGATTAGCATGTTTAGGGCACAGCTGAATGAGAGACCAACAAAAATCCTTGCAACACCAAAGATAAATTGAAGGCAAGGATTATGGCAGCATTCACTAACTTAATCAAGGAGACCATCCAGAAGATTTGTAGGAGATTCTGAAGTCATCTAGAGGCTGTGGTTGAAGTTAATGGTGATTTTATTGAATAAATTTACTCTTTATTATTTCATGATATTTTTGTCTAATTTTAGTAAATATATCTGTTAAAATGAGATGTTAGTGTTATTTTCATTTGTGTGTAATTTAGACGACAATTTGTCCATCGCACCCTGTATATGCTTCAACTCTATACTGAACTCTGAAATTTTATTTAGTATTTATTTATTTATAGACATGATGATTCCACTCACTTGGCCATTGTGACTACACAAGCACATTCAATGCTGTCTCAATACCAACTGAGTAACGCAATGGGCGAGTGCTTGATCATTCATGTGCAGTAAGGTCCCCAAGTTATATCAACATTGTATGAATGGATTTCAAGATATTCAGAGTAAATGGTTATGTTTCAAATAGATCTTGTATAAATTACCATTTTTTGACATTTTTTTCTTTAAGAGAGAAAAATAGAAGTTCTTGACTTAAGAAAAAATCCTATGCTGATGTTCTTAAGATCTATGGTAAGAATGAATCTTCTGTCACATAACTTTTTTGACAGTATATTGTTATAATTACTCTATATTAGTTATTGTTGTTAATCTCTTATTATGCTTAATAAGATCTACGGTAAGAATCTTCTATCTGTCACATAACTTTTATTACAAAAGTATATTGTTATAAATGTTCTCTTATTAGTTATTGTTGTTAATCTTTTATTGTGTCTAATAAGATCTACAGTAAGAAAGAATTTTACTATGGATATGTACATACAAGAAAAAACATACTATATATCTGTGCTTTTCAGTGAAGGTGCCATCATGACACTCTGATGTGTCAGAGAGTACTTAGGGATGTCACAATATTTAAAATAACAACATTGATGAAAAAACAACCCTTATTCCAAAAAAAAAAAAAAAAAAAAGTAACAGTTCAACAAGAATGAGAAAATTGTTTTTTTTTCTTTAACAGATTTTAATAGAACAATAAAAAATTTATGATTATTAATTATCATGGAAAAAAAATGAGAGGTTGGAAAAGAAAGGCAAAAAAGAAAAAAAAAAATTATTTTTTCATATTCAGTGTAAGGTCAAAAATCCTGAGTTATCAATAGAGTAGGAGTTTGCCTATCCTGATATCCCAATAACAGGATAGGCAAAGAAAAATTCAGGTTGCTTGTTAGTCTTCTTTATTTGAAGTTTTATGCTTCCACCGTAACAACTATAGAAACATTAAGAATAATATTTCTATGCTTAGTGTTCAGATGTGACACTATGTGACACTGACAAGTGGTAAAAAAAAAGGGGTTAAATTAAAAACATAGTTTGGAATGAGACGAGAAGGGTTAAAGAATAGAACGATGGACTGACTGAGAGAAGGAAAAGGGATTCCTTTTTATTTCCAAAGTCCGTTTCTTTTTAAGGCAAAGATACTTTGAAGGAAAATGACTCTTACAAGATATTGTCACAAAAGCCATTTGGTGATATTTAGCTGACACCCGATTAATGAGGCAGTTTAAAAAGCACCGGTTACGAAAACACAGTTTCAAAAGATGAAATTTAGTGATCTCTGTAACTAAATCAATGTACTGACCAGGCTTGATAATGCTTCACTTTGGTGATAATACGGGAACTGGTGTTTCAACATCACGTGGCTGTAAGCCCAATGAGAAAGGGCTTCTAACTAAAGTAAAAGTTTGTGGTTAGGAACAGTAGCATAGGGTGGGGTTTTAAGCACCCAGGTCAATTTAAATTAATGTGCCACCTCCTTAGCCTTGAGCTGTTAAAGATTCTAGTTTCAAAAATATTTGCTCAACCTAATTAATTTTTTTGTGCCCCTAAAAATTTAATGCCTGGGGTAATCCCTGCTCTACCCACCTTGTGACACTATACGGCACTGGCAGATGGAATCAAAGGAAATTAAAAACAGCTTGGAATGAGACTGGTTAAAAAAATAGAATGATGGACAGACTGAGAGAAGGAAAAGGGATTCCTTTTTATTTCCAAAGTCTGTTTTTTTTTTAGGGCAAAGATACTTTGAAGGAAAGTGATTCTCTTACAAGATATTACCACAAAAGCCATATGGTGATATTTAACTGACAGCTGATTAATGAGGTAGCTTAAAAACCACTGGTTACGAAAACACTTTGGAAAGATAAAATTTAGTGATCTGTGTAACCAAATCAAGAGAATAGAGTTTTCTTGTGTAAAGATCTAAGGCCCAAAGTGCTTAGAGTACACTGACTCTGGGGAGATCGGGGACGTGGGGGGAGGGGTACTGACTGACTGGAGGAAACAGAGTTTTGAACAAAGCCAGGCTGAGAAATTTCGCCGATGTGAAATTTAAAATGATAATCTTAATTAATGACCACAACCTAAGCCACGTCACATAGTTCAGAGCCAGAGTGGTCGAAGGACAGCCAGGGTGACACGTACAGGCGAAATGTCAAGGAAGACGGAGGAATTGCCTACACCTATCAGGAAGTGTTGGTACGAGGCACAAATAAGAGAAGGAAGGAGTTGGGCGAATTGACATCCTATGACTGCTACCCATTGGAAAAGGGATCTCTCCAAATTTGGAAGTATAATTAATTATCCTGAGCCACACAACAAGGAGGCCCTTGTAGAAGATAGGGAAACCACTGAGTCCCCATATCCATGTCAACCTCCATGCCAGTTTTGGATGAAAGTCATTATAAGCAGAATACTGAAATGACCAAAAGAAGAGGTTCCAGATAACAGACCAGAGATGACCACACTGCCAAATCTCATGTGACTTACTGTCAGAGAGAATCTCTGACTTGAGCCTTGTTCCAAACTTAGCCAAGTTGAGCATAGTGTTACAACAAAACACTAAGTGGGAAGGTTTACTGTTTTATACCCAGAACCAATTCATTGTATAAAACAGTATATAAATTTTCATAGAACTAGACCCTGTAGAACTTGTCTTCTTTAACTGCAAGGACATTTTTTTTTTTGTTAATGTGACATAACTGTCAGGAACAGACCAACATCACAATTGCCGATGACAATTTGATCTTTGCCTGCTGTGATCAAACAACACAATGTGGGTAGGGCAACAGTTTAGACAGGAGTGACCAACCCAATGGCCAGTGGCAGCATTTGACCAAAGTCTGACCAACAGAAAAGTGTTATAAAATTCTGCATTCCTTCTGATTTTTCTCTCCCACTTAAATGAGAAACAAGTGATTATATATATATATATATATATATATATATATATTTTATTCTACTTAACCCACAAGTTACATGAGTTGAATATCTGTAAGTTACTTAAAAGGAAAAAAAAAAGTGTTTATTTTTGTTATATACAAAAATGTTTTTTTTACATTTGATTTTATTTGTTTAACTTTTTCTTTTCTACGAGTTCTTATTACAACTTAATTCATAAACGAAAAGTCTTTTGGGCACCTTGAAATTGCATAATGGTTAGCAAGCTTGTCTCGCTAGAACACTTGCAACTGAATAGTGAATTCAATCCTCATTGGATGCCACATACGTTCAGCCTTGTTCTATATCTAAGATGTGCTTAGAAAATCACCATAAATGAAAAGTTGTCTGTAACTCAAAGTTGCTTTTTTTAATATTGATTGTAGTCACACCTCTTTTTCATAAACAAGAGTACAAAAGTGATGCTGCTACACTTGATCCTTCCAGTTCACAAAAAAAGAGTTTATGAAGAAAGATCATAACCCATATCATCCTGGTGTCAATTTATTTAAACTGACACTTTTTTCCATATATTTGGGATATTTTGTTTCCCTAACCAATAAAACCATAACCCTTTCAAGTCAAGAGTTAACTTATCAGCTCTACATATCCTCATAATCTTACCTACTCCTTTTATGTCAATATAAAAATATCATTCAATAAACCTCTACTTTGAGTGGCTCTTGAGCCTTGCATTGAGCAAACAAGACAAAAAAAAAAAAAAAAACTAGTCTTTAGCTCAACTCACAAAATTGCTTTTTACTATTGACTGTCATCTCTTTACTTGCAATTGACCCTCTTTGAGAGTGATGCCAATACAACTGTTCATTCTGGCTCATTTAGTCATATAGTTTAGGAAATACGTATCTACACTGAAAGTTTTTTTCCATTCTCAAATGGAGAAGTTTCTTATCAAGTGTAAAGACAGCAAAGGTTAAGAAATTTGAATGAAATGCTGAAAACATCCAAATTCTCAAGGCTGTCTGACATGGGAACATAAAGTACAAATATATTTGGTCTTGACTATAAGGAAATCAAAGAAATGTAATTTATATAGTGAAAATTATTTAACAATTGGTTTTACTTTGCAGGCAGATGAATATGAACTGGGTTCAAAAGGTCATTATAAGTGATGAGAAATGGCAAAATTAAAGCACAATCCATTCTAAGATTTTAAGACACTTTTCTAGAAGACAATAAACTTGATGACATATCTGTTGAGTATTTTAGAGGTTTTAGAAGATGAAAGAAATATTAGTGAAAATGAATAATGGTTGACAATGCATCATCATATAATGATACCAATTCCAAATGATATTACTACTAATAC